TTCCTCCTTTACAACCTTCCATCCTTCCGTCCCTTTTGCCTCTCTTTCCTTCCTCCTTACCTCCCTCTTTCTCCTTCCATCCTTTCCTTCCCTTTTGTTCCTTCCTTCTCTCTTTCCTTCCTCCTTCCTTCCCTCTTTATCCCACCCTCCTTCCTTCCCTTCCACCCTTCCTTCTTTACCTCTTTCCTCTCTCTTTCTCCTTCCTTCCTTTGTTTTTGTTTTTCCATCCCTCTTTCTCCTTCCATCCTCCCTTCCTCCCTTTTGTCCTTCCTTCCTTCCTTCTCTAATTCCTTCCTCCTTCCCTTCCTTCCTTCAATCACTGGGCAGCCAGTCCTCTTCACAGGGAGTCCTTGCACGCAGCCCCAAAATTAGAAAGTTTGCCCATGCCTGCTGTAGATGCAATCACAGTTAGATTTGGGCTGCATTGGCCCTTTCTACACTGCTATATAATCCAGGTTATCAAATCAGATAATCTACATTATCTACTTTGAACTGGATTATATGAGCCTACACTGACATATAATCCAGTTTAAATCAGATGATCTGGATTTTATATGGCAGTGTAGAAGGAGCCTTATTGTGTTGGAAAAATCAACAGTTCCGTCCTTGACCATTTGGTGCCCAATTATCCTTTTTTATATAGGAAATAAACAGGTAAGATGTATTGTCTTCTAGAGCATGCAATTCGGCACGAAGTTGATATTAGCAAATGCCAAACAGGGCCAAACAGTACGAATTCACTGGATCATAGGACGCTAAGAAAACGAGAGTCAGGAATAGTTCCTAGAATTAGATGACTCAATTAACCACAACAAGCAGGACATTTCTGGGCATCCAACGCCGCCACAAATTCCGCAATCTGGCAACATGCTGTGCACTGGAGTATCTCCTTTTATATGTTCTAAATATACCAACGGCACTTCCCAGCAATTCCAACTGGGTAAGGCAGGTGGTCTTCAAGGGCAACCCTATGTCAAGGAGGACCAAGATATGTCCATGAGAAAATGTCCTGAAGAGATTCTGGGAACCAGAATGGAGGCCACCTTACTTGGAAAGCCCCATACCTAAAATTCGTTATGGGGGCATTTGGAACTGGCTCAGTGTTTTCCAAATATTTGGAACATAATCATCAAGGTTGTTGTTTCTTCCAAGAAGTTTCTCTTGGGTTGACACTGGCTTAGCTTCACCTCAGGTTTCACCTTAGGTTCACCTTCACCTAAGGTTCACCTCAGACTGACAGGTCGCAGGTTCGAATCCGGGGAGAGTGTGGATGAGCTCCCTCTATCAGCTCCAGCTCCTCACGCGGGGCATGAGAGAAGCCTCCCACAAGGATGATAAAACTTCAAAAATCCGGGCATCCCCTGGGCAACGTCCTTGCAGATGACCAATTCTCTCATACCAGAAGCGACTTACAGTTTCTCAAGTCACTCCTGACACAACAACAACAAAAAAACAAAAACCTCAGGTTTTGGAGTGCGTTAGGGCATGTAAAAAATCAGTTGGTGAGTGTGTTAACTGAAAATGCAAAGCACGAAGCTGATTGGTCAGGCCAAACTAGCTGAGCCTGGGAGTTTTGGCAACAGTTACATGTTTAGGCTTTAGCTGTGCAAGAGCTTGCAGACAGAGAAAGACAGTTCTTGCTTCATGAGCTGTTGGAAGAGAATCTTCCACATGGATGCTTAAATGCCATTTGAACCTCAAAAGACATTGTGTGAGTCAATGCAACTGTTCTCGTGATTGTATATATGTCACTCTGCACTTTATCCATTAAACTTGTGTTTGACTGATCATCTATATGGCATATTTTCTTTCTCTGGCAAGACAGTGTGTAGACTCATAAAACGTGAACTACACATGGTTTTCATCCTGCCACAAACTGTTCTACTTCCATCAGCACTCTATCTCTGGCTATCTATGTGCTTGGACTACAACTTTAGGTGTTATTTTTCCATTGGCTAAATCAGTGGTTCCCAACCTTTTTTTGACCAGGGACCACTCTCCAATATTAGTACCAAAAGGGTTACAAATCAGTTTTTGGTCAACTTTAGATTCTGTTTGGTTATTTGGGGTGCTGATTCAGAAAACTACATTGGATAGACCACATCAGCTCTAGTTTCTAGTTTCCGCAGAAAACCATATTTAATAAGCCTTGGCACTATAAGAGGGTTTCTGGAGACCAGTCGCTCTCGTTGCAATGGTGTAGTAACAGTGAGGCTGTGGACCATATTTTAGTTCTTGCAGACCACTGGTTGGGAACCACTGGGCTAAATGGACTAGCGCCACTGCGTCTTGCAATCCAATAATATCGAGAGAGCCATACAATTCTCACTCCTGGACTACAGGAAGCTTCCCAGGTTTCAGACTATTTTGCAATCCAAGACCAAGTCTTCAAAGAATGCATCTACACTGATGAATGAATGCAGCTTGATAGCACTTTAACTGCCAAGGCTCAAGGCTTTGGAACCCTGGGAGTTCGAGTTTCCCAAGGTCTTGAGCCTTCTCTGCCCAAGAGAGCTGAATAGGGAGCCAAAGTTTGCAGGCATGGTATAGAAAAAAACTAGGTTTATTTTATCACATGGGCATCACACATAAAACTATTTAAAAATCTGGCTTTAAAAGGAGTCTTTACCTCCAGATGTTAGACAGACAAGGCTGAGATATGTTTGCATGTTTAGAGAGATTATTATTATTATTATCATCATCATCATCATCATCAATGACTTTCCACTTTTGCAAATCTACCATGTTTATTTTTCTCTCCATTGGTGTCCCCGAATGTGGTGCCTATAGACTACATGGCGGTGGAGCACAAAAAAAAGGATAAGAGGAGGGAGGGAGGAAGGTTGCACCATGAGAATGCAGAACAACCATCACTGATGGCAAAGGTCTCCATGGTTTCGCAATAGGTTTCCATAAGATGCACTTGTCTTAGAGGAAAGGGCTTGGACCTTCCCAACACAGACACCAATAGAAAACTTGGACCTCCCCAAACTAGATTTCTATAAAATGCAATTGTCCTAGGCCCAAGATGAACCAGTTCACCAAAACATTACCAACATCCATTTGGTTTGTGCTGACTTTGCTCCTCCACAGTTCCCTTCATCTCTTCCTATTGTCTTCCTTCTCATCTGGTATTCTGCTTTTGGTCACAATGAAGGTCCATGCCCAGCAAGATAGGCTACACTGGTTGGCGCTGATGGGAGGTGTAGTACAAGAACATATATCTAGGGCTGAGGATGCAGCACAAGATACAGTTAGGGCTGATAGGTGGTGCGGTGCAAGAAGATATAACTAGGCCTAATGATGCAGTAGTAGAAGAATAAATAGCTGAGGCCAATGGGAGGTGTATATGGCTAAGGTTGATGGTGCAGTACATATGGCTAGGGCTGATGGGTGGTGAAGTAAAGAACATATGGGTAGCGCTTATGGTGCAGTACAAGAACATATTAGTAGCACTTATGATGTAGCACAACTTACAGCTAGGGTTGATGGTGCAACACAAGAACATAAAGCTAGGGCTGATAGGTGGTGCAGTACAAGAACATATAACTAGGTCTAATGGTGTAGTGGAAGAATATATATAGCTAGGGCCAATGGGAGATGCAATATAAGAATGTATGGCTAGGGCTGATGGTGTAATGCATATGGCTAGGGCTGGTGGGAGGTGAAGTATAAGAACATATGGGTAGCACTTAAGACGCAGTCCAATAACATATAGCTAGGGTTGATGGTGCAACACAAAAACATAAGGCTAGGGCTTATAGGAGGAAGAATCATAGAATCATAGAGGTAGAAGAGACCACATGGGCCATCTAGTCCAACCCCATGTTGCCATGCAGGAAAAGCACAATCAAAACAGCCCTGACAGATAGCCATCCAGCCTCTGCCTCCAAGGAAGGAGCTTCCACCATACTCTGAAGCAAAGAGTTCCACTGCTGAACAGCTCTTCTTACAGTCAGGAAGTTTTCCCAGATGTTTAGGTGGAATCTCCTTTCTTGTAATTTGAACCCACTGCTCTGAGTCTGAGGGCCCATCCATGCCCCTTATTAACAGTTTATCCCAGAAGCTTCCACAGGAAACAGGAGGGTGGCCAGATGCCATTCCCTGTAAATGCGGAAGCAGTCGCTACAAAAGGCAAAAACCGCAAGATTATCAGGTGTGGGAATATCACAGTTTTGAGCCGAATATGCGGATCTTAGCGTGTCTGTATGTCCCTGCTATCGGAAATCAAGGGATTTTTTTTATATCTGGATTTGTTTCCAGGCTTTAAATTATTTGTTCCTGATTGGTCGGTTCATAAAAAAAGGTAATAGTTAAGTAAAATGCAAAAACTTTGTTTGTGTGCCAGAAACTTCATGAATCATGTGGAGGGCACATTTTCTCTGGACAGGACAAAGTTGTGCCCCCCTCATCAACATTGTACATCTTTTCACAAGAACAGCAATCAGGAACAGCCAGGTATAACCCAGGATCCACAATCTGTTGTTCCATGCCACAAGTACACAACTAAATCTGTCTGGACAGATGGCCAAGCAACCAGGCTCTAAAAAGTGTCAATAATGACAAAGTTCTGTTCCTGGCTGTGAATGGTGACTCGGGCAGAAGTGGTCCCACTCCATAAACTTTGTTTATGTGGCAGATACTTCATGAAATGTCTGGAGGGCACAGTTTCTCTGACCTATTGATCTACCCACACTTGCATGTTTTCAAACTGCCAAGTTGGCAGAAGTCGGACCTAACAGCGGAAGCTCATTCTGCTCCCCGGATTTGAACCACCAACCTTTCAATCAGTAAGTTCAGCAGTTTAACCCACAGTTTAACCCGCTGCACCACTGGGAGCCCCTGAGATGCAGTACAAGAACATATAACTAGAGCTGATGGTGTAGCACAAGAACACAAGGCTAGGGCTGATCGGCAGTGCAATACAAGAACATATAGCTAGTGCTGACGGGAGTTGCTGTGTAACTGCAACCAGATAATATGTTCACAATGTCTGGCCATGTAGCTGTTGTTTTGATCTTCCATGCCCCTTATTAACAGTATAAAACAAAGAGCCTTTTCTAGATCCCAATTCCAAGAGTCTGTTAGCCATCCAGGCAGGCTCTTTTCGGGTCCCAGCATCACACTGGTCTGTCTTGAGTATACTGGCCGGAGCCGGGGCTGCTGGCTGGATTGGGCAGTGCAGCGTAGCCAAGGGGTGCCTGAGGCTGCTTGGCCCTGAGTCTTAAGCCACCCAGGCTGGCACCACAGGGGTCCCTGTACATGTAGGGTGAAGGGGCACCGGCTCCGTACGTGGAACTGGAAAGCCCTGCTGGGCCGGGCAGGCTGTTGAAGTTCTCTAGCGATGCCGGAACGCCGGGTGCAGAGGAGCTTCCGGCAGCAGGGAAGACACTCTGGGGTGGAAAGGCAGCATTGAGACCCATGGAGTTGAAGAGCTGGAAGCCCTTGCTGTGGATGGGATTGGCGTGGAGGGCCTTGGGGCCCCAGGCACCGTAGGTGTAGCTTGAGTAGAGGTCCTCGTACGGGTTGCCTGAGAAGCCGTTGAGCTGTGGGCCGAAGCCCCCTTTGCAGAGCTCCGACTGCTGCTGGTGGCGCTCCTTTTTGCGCCACTTGGCCCTCCGGTTCTTGAACCAAACCTTGAGAAAGAGAAAAAAAATAAGGTTTTATGCAAAGAAATTGTTCCTTTTGGTGCCCTTTGGCTTTCCTATTCTTAAAAGATTGAAGTTATTATGCAAAGATTTCATCCCTTTTCATGCCATCTGGCTCTCTCATTTTTAAACTTCAAGAGAGAGAGGCTGGATTTACGCTGCCGTATAATCCGGATTATCAACGCAGATAATCCACATTACCTGCTTTGAACCAGATTATATGAGTCCGCACTGCCATATAATCCAGTTCAAAGCAGATAATATGGATTTTGGTTGCATGCTGCAAGTCGCTTCTAGTGTGAGAGAATCTACAAAGACATTGTCCAGACAAGCATCTTGAGCTCTGAGGATGACCTGGGATGTAATCCCACTGGAACATTACAGCACACCCAAATACCTGGGTGTGACTCTGGACTGTGCTCCGACCGTGCTCTGCTCCATCAATGTTTAACATTTATACAAATGATCAGCCACTGCCAGAAGGAACAGAGAGTTTCATCTATACTGATGATCATGCCATCACCGCTCAAGCAGAGGAGCTTTGAAATGGTTGAACAGAAGCTCTTCTAAGCCTTGGGTGTTTTTACTGCCTATTACAGGGAAAGCCAGCTGATCCCTAATCCATCTAAAACACAGATGTGTGATTTTCACCTTAAGAACAGACAAGTATCTCGAGTTCTAAGTATGACCTGGGAAGGAATCTCATTGGAGCATTGCAGCACACCCAAATCCCTGGGAGACACGCTGTATCATGTTCTGACTTACAAAAAGCGCTGCTTCAATATCAAGCAAAAAGTGGGTGCTAGAAACAATATCATACGAAAACTGACTGGCACAACCTGGGGATCACAACCAGACACAGTGAAGACATCTGCCCTTGCGCTTGGCTACTCTGCTGCTGAATATCCATGCCCAGAGTGGAATACATAGCACCACATTAAAATAGTGGATGTGGCTTTCAATGAGACATGCCGCATTATCACAGGATGTCTACACCCCACACCAATATAGAAATTAGACTGTTAGCTAGTATCACACCACCTGACATCTGCCGGGAAGTAGCAGCCAGCAATGAAAGGACCAAGGCATTTACATCTCTGGCCCATCCCCTGTTTGGATATCGGCCAGCACACCAATGGCTTAAATCAAGAAATAGTTTTCTAAGATCTACAGATATATTCACAGGAACACCTCAGCTAGCGAGAGTCCAAAAGTGGCAGGCTCAACCCCAGCACCTTAATCAGTGGCTGAGACTAGGTGAGAAACTCCCCCCTGAGCACACAGAAGAATGGATGAAGGAAAAGGTGTCTTGTGCAAAGAAATAGTTAAATAGTTTCTTTCGATACTATTTGGTTCACTAGTTCTTAAAGCAAACTTTATAGAAAGAGAGTTGCCACTTCTACACCACCATATAAAATCAAGATTGTGTGTGTGTGTATGTATGTGTGTGTCTGTGTGGTTGTGTTTGTCTGTCTATATATGTGTGTGTGTGTGTGTGTGTGGCTGGACTTACACTTTAAAATGTGCCTGTTCCAACTTACATACAAATTCAACTTAAAAACAAACCTATAAAGCCTTTCTTGTGTTGTCGAAGGCTTTCGTGGCTGGAATCACTGGCTTGCTGTGAGTTTTTCCTACACAAATGGATACTTACATAAAAACTCCAACCATCATCCAAGTCAAAAAAAAGAAGCACAATTAGAGCCCTGGCAGAGTGTGCAAAAAGAATCTGCAAAGCCCACCTACTCCAAGGTGAACTGGACCACCTCAACTGGGCTCTCCAAAGAAGGGTCCACCACAGACCTCAGAAGAGCTGTGAAACCAAGAACAAGCCACGAGAGTAAAAGCAAATATCCACCCAGAGGACAAGTGTTCTTGCCATACATCAAAGGAACCACTGACTGCAGAGGGAAGGCTTTTAGGCTGCAATGCCATTAAATGCTAATCAAGGTGGCCAACTCCTACATTTACACTTGCCTCCAACAGAGAAGAGTTCTTTCTCCCATCCTGGACATCATTCCACAGATATATAAACCTCTCTTGTCTAGTTTCCAACAGACCTCACAACCTATGAGGATGCCTGCCATAGATGTGAGCGAAACGTCAGGAGAGAATGCTTCTGGAACATGACCATGAAGCCTGGAAAACTCACAGCAACCCCGAGCTTCTCTTGTTCATAACTTGGGGACTGCCTGTGATTCTAAATCAACAAAAGCAGCCAGACAGTGCAAATTTTTAATGCCCAAATAACATGGAATTTAGCTGATTTTAGACACCAGTGGCTCCAACCTGGTCTAAAATCAGTGGTCTGCAAGAACTAAAGCTCAGCTTGTCATTGAACATCGAGAAAACCAAAGTGCTCTTCCAGCAGTCACCAGCCAATCCCTCTCCAATGCCAGAGATACAGCTTAATGGTGTAACATTTGAAAATGTTGACCATTTCTGCTCCCTTGGCAGCCACCTCTCCACCAAAGTCAACATCGACACCGAAATACAACACCACCTGAGCTCTGCGAGCGCAGCATTTTTCCGAATGAAGCAGAAAGTGTTTGAGGACCGGGACATCCGTAGGGATACCAAGGTGCTTGCTTATAAAGCTTTTGTCCTCCCAAACCTGTGATATGCCTGCGAAACATGGACTGTCTACAGATGTTACATGCAACTCCTGGAATGATTCATCAGCGCTGCCTCCGGAAAATCCTACAAATCTCTTGGGAAGACAAGCGGACAAATGTCAGCGTGCTGGAAGAAGCAAAGACCACTAGCATTGAAGTGATGGTCCTCCGCCATCAACTCTGCTGGACCAGCTAAGTTGTCCGGATGCCCGACCACCGTCTCCCAAAGCAGTTGCTCTACTCCGAACTCAAGTATGGAAAACGGAATGTTGGTGGGCAGGAAAAGAGACTTAAAGATGGGCTCAAAGCCAATCTTAAAAACTCTGGCATAGACACTGAGAACTGGGAAGCCCTGGCCCTTGAGCGCTGCAGCTGGAGGTCAGCTGTAACCAGCAGTGCTGTAGAATTTGAAGAGGCGAGAATGGAGGGCAAAAGAGAGAAATGTGCCAAGGGGAAGGCGCGTCAAGCCAACCCCGACAGGGACGGCCTTCCACCTGGAAACCAATGCCCTCACTGTGGGTGGGATAAGATGCAGATCAAGAATAGGGCTCCACAGTCACCTACGGATCCAGTGCACACTGACCCTGGAGGACCATTCTACTTGGACAACTAGGGACCGCCTAAGTAAGTAGGTAAGTAAGCAAGAACTAAAATATGGTCTGCGACCTCACCATTACTATACCATTGCAATGAGAGCGACTGGTATTGCAAAATCCTCTTATAGTGCTTATTAAATATGGTATTATGTGGGTGAGCAGATGGTGACTACTGGATGGCATATGTTCTGTAGCAGGACCTAGAGCTGATGTGGTCTATCCAATGCAGTTTCTGAATCAGCACGCCAAATCTTTCTCTGTATTGCTCTGTGGCATTCTCTGTCTCATGGTGAATTAAATAAAGGAACCTTTTTAATGCCTTTTAAAGTTAGAAAAGTGTTAATGATGGTGGTCTCACCCGGATCCTGGGCTCGGTGAGGTTGGTCCACCCCGCGATCTCCTCCCTGGTGCTCATGTCCGGGTAGCGATTCCGCTGGAATGTGGCCTCTAGCTCTTGCAGCTGCTGGCTGGTGAAGTGGGTCCGCTGCCTCCGCGGCTTCTTTTTACCCCGGTTTGGCTCCTCTTCGCCACTGGAATCAGAGGACTTGCACTTCTCCCCTGAAAAAGAAGCACAAAAAGAGGAAAGGTTGGCATCTCTATCAATGAAAACAGACCGGATACTCCCTACCTGTTGTCATGCAACCAACGATTGTGCTTGATGTCAATGAGGAAGTAGATCATGGGATTTCTTGGCCTGCTGAGCCTGCAAGCCAGCATGAGATTTTAAGTCCCGAAACTGAGCATTCGGTGTCTTCTACAGTTAGTGAAGGCGAAGGTCACATTTCTTTTTTAAAAAAATAATCTTTATTAAAGTTTTTAGTTAAAAACAGAACTAAAGGGAACATTAACCAAGAAAAAAACATTGTTTTAGTTTCTAAGAAAATGATATGTATATATATGTATATGTATGTGTGTGTGTGTGTGTATATGTATGTGTATGTGTATATATATATATATATATATATATATATATATATATATATATATTTCAAACTTATATGCCGCCACTCCCCTGCGGCTCGGAGCGGCTTACAATATATGAAATAATTAAAATATATATAATCAGAAAATTTGGCGGTCACATTCTTGAGAGGGGCCCAGAGAAGTCTTTTTCTAGGGAAGTAAGTTCAGAGGATGAACTGCCAGATGGAAAGGTTAATGATCTGTTAGATAGGAGACTTTGTTTTTGCAAGCTCCTAACTGCTGCACAGACTTAACAAAGGTCACATCATGTGTTAGAAAAAAGGTTATTATCAGTTTGCCAGGGCAAACGGCATGATTTCATGGCTTTATTAGAAAGACCAAAGGGATTCTTCAGCAGTCTGATCAACACTGCTGTTAGAAGCAACATCTCTTGTCAAGTCCTAATCACACCTTCTAAGGGAATTCTAGTTTCATGTCTCCAGTGGTTCATGTTCCATGCTTCCAAGTTGAAAAGATTGTTCCTGAAATCTGTGTATTGGATTTTTGGCTGCCTTGTGTATCTTGATTCCATCAGTGCTGCCTCCGGAAAATCCTGCAAATCTCTTGGGTAGACAAGCGGACAAATGTCAGCATGCTGGAAGAAGCAAAGACCACCAGCATTGAAGCGATCGTCCTCCGCCACCAACTCCGCTAGACCGGCCATGTTGTCTGGATGCCTGAGCACCGTCTCCCAAAGCAGTTGCTCTACTCTGAACTCAAGAACGGAAAACGGAATGTTGGTGGACAGGAAAAGAGATTGAAAGATGGGCCCAAAGCCAACCTTAAAAACTCTGGCATAGACACTGAGAACTGGGAAGCCCTGGCCCTTGAGCGGTCCAGCTGGAGGTCAGCTGTGACCAGCAGTGCTGTAGAATTTGAAGAGACACAAATGGAGGACGAAAGAGAGAAACATGCCAAGATGAAGGTGCATCAAGCCAACCTCAACCAGGACCACCTTCCACCTGGAAACCAATGCCTTCACTGCGGGAGAACATGCAGATCAAGAATAGGGCTCTACAGTCACCTACGGACCCACCGTCAGGACACTGACCCTGGAAGACTATCAATGGGAGCTCACTCCACTCCCCGGATTCGAACCACCAACCTTTCGATCAGCAAGTTCAGCAGCTCAGCAGTTTAACCCACTGCGCCAACGGGGGTTCCTTGGGAGTTGTAGTTGCTGGGATTTATACTTCACCTAAATCAAAGAGTATTCTGAATTCCACCAACGATGGAATTGAACTGAACTTGGCACACAGAACTCCCATGTCCAACAGAAAATACTGGAAGGGTTTGGTGGACACTGACCTTGAGTTTTGGAGTTGTATTTCGCCTATATCCAGAGAGCACTGTGGATTCAAATAATGATAGATCTGGACCCAATGTGACACGGATACTCAATATGCCCAAATGTGCACACTGGTGGAGTTTAGGGGGGAAGGATGTTGACATTTGGGAGTCATCGTTGATGAGACGAATAGTTCACCTACAATCAAAGAGCATTCTGAACCCCACCAATGATAAAACTGGGCCAAAATTCCCACACAGAACCCCCGTGCCTTGCACGCAGTTTCCATTTCCAGAGCTTTGTGAATATTTCCAATGAACCTTTTCGCAAGATAATAAACAAAGCTGTGCATGTTTATCCAAGGAAATCATAAATTGGTAATACTTTCAGATGAGGAGCACTCCATCTGTATGATGGAAATTTTCATGTATCTCTGCCCAAATCCAAATATATGTTGGGAATTATTTTAGTTGGGGTTTAGAGACTTTGGTCCCAACTGGAGTAATGCAATGAGAGGATTTGCCTACAACTCAATGCTTGAGTGAGTCTACCAGCCTCATCACACTAGAGCATGGATCCACTTTAAATCTGGGTTCCGCCTCCTGCAGAATTCTGGGGTTTGTAGTTTAGTGAGCCCAGGACTTGTTAAGCTGTTTAAAGGCTTCTCCCTAAACTACAAGTCCCAAAATACTGCAGGAGGCAGAAATTAGATTTAAAATTGATCCATGCTCTAGTGTGACGAGGTCCTATGAAAGCATCTTTACTGTAGAATGAACATGCTTTGGCACTATGGGATCACGTGAGTTATAGTTTGCACTCTTTTTGCAGATAAGGATAAACACTCTGCAGAACTACAACACCCAGGATTCTATGGCACTGAGCCACAGCAACTAAAGTGGTGTCAAACGGCACCAGTTCTACAGTGTAGATTGAGGGTTCTCAAATGATGACTCACGAGCTGAATACAGTCCACCAGGGTCATTTTGTCTTCTCCTCCATACACAAATTTGTGCAAGCCTTCATCCCTCTGCTTCTTCACTTTTGGAAGAAAAGAGGGGAGGAGGAAGGAAGGAAGGAAGGAAGGAAGGAAGGAAGGAAGGAAGGAAGGAAGGGAAGCCGATGGGAACTTTAGGAGGGGTTTCCCCAGGAGGAGGGGTCCTGGGACCCCACCAAAAAGGGATCGCTACTTTGGCGATCTAGAGAAGCCTGATTTCAGCAATTTTATTAAATTAAAAATTCGAAATAAACCTCACCAAAGTCGAAGAAGCAGCATCAAGGTGTTTTTATTAGCGATTCAGCTGAAAGGATGCAATGTAGCAATCATTCACCTACAGAGCATGCCAGTACAGAGATCAGAGACATTTTTATAGAATTTACAGGTTTAGAAGTTTCAAAATTCCCGCTTCCCACCCCCCACCCAGCTTGCTGGTGATTGGCTGGCCAGATAACAGCTGGGAGGAGGCTCGGCCGTCCCGTCTCCCTCGCCAGGACCAATCACAGGGCTCCTCCACTGCGCGGGAGCCTATCAGGAAGCTCCCACAGATCTGGCGCTTCAGCGAATCAGGAAGAGAGAGGCGGGACGGAAAAGAAACAATGCGTTGATGATAGGATTATGGAATTCCAGTGTCCTGAGTTTCCTGCATCCAGGAATCGGCCAGCTAGAGAAACCAACTTTTATTGTTATGTGATGGGTGGGTGATTGGTGTTGATTACTTAAGCCAGGTTTTCCTGCTATGATCAGATAAGGCACAAAGGTGAGGCTTGGGGTGGATGTTTGCTATGAAGAGTTTTGAATGAAGTGAACAAAGTTGGGGAAGGCGACCTCCCGAGAGTCGTCTCGCTCCCATTGTGAAATGATCAAAAAGTTTGCCAAAGGAAATTCCAGTTTGACGGTCCCAACTCCGAAAATCAAATAGGAATTTCAAGTTCTATTGTCCATGCAAGAGTTCCAAGATATGGGGTTTTTGTGATTGCTGATTGCCCTTTTCAGCGCCAAAGGGCAACTTCCCCGTTGACTCCCCCTTCTCGAAGAGGGGAAGGGGGAAGGGGTTGGGTGCCAGGGCAAAAATAAGGAAAAATACATGGGGAAATATAGGAATCCAAAGAAATTAATATCAAGCGTCCCTTCCTACTCCCTGCCCGCCAGAGAAATTGATTAAAATAATAATTTTAATAAAACATGTGTCCATAGTTCATACTGGGGAAGTTCAGATGTGAAAATGAGTTCTTTAGAGCCAAAAAGAAATGGAAGGAAGTCCAACAGTCACAAAAGGGTGCTTGATGATCTCCACTGAGCCAAGGAATGGATTCTTGCAGCGCCAAGATCAAGCTGGTCCTTAGTCCTTGGGAAACTATAACTTCCTCCAAGGACTGGGACCCCAAGGCCAGGCTCTTCCCTGAAAGCCTCATGGGGTCCTTGTTGTTGCTAGTGTCTTGGCAAATTGACCAAAACTTAACCCCTTTGTGCAGTCTGGTACCCTTGCCCTTTGCAGAACTATAAGTTACCATCCCTTTTTTTTGGGGGGGGGCATGTTCGAGAAGGAAGGAAGGAGAAAAGAAAAAAAGGGGAAAGGGAGGAAGGGAAGCAAGAATGGGAGGAAAAAGAAAGGCAAGGATGGAAGGAGGAGAGGGAAAAAAGGAAGGAAGGGAGGGAGGGAGGGAGGGAGAAAAAGGAAGGAAGGGAAGAAAGGAGAGGAAAGAGGAGGGAGGGAGAAAAAGGAAGGGAGGGAGAAAAGGAGGGAGGGAGCAAAGGAAAAGAGGAAAGAGGGAGGGAGGGAGAAAAAGGAAGGAAGGAAGGAAGGAAGGAAGGAAGGAAGGAAGGAAGGAAGGAAAAGAGGAAAGAGCAGGGAGAGAGAAAAAGGAAGGAAGGGAACGAAGGAGAGGAAAGAGGAGGGAGGGAGGGAGGGAGAGAGGGAAAGGAAGGAAGGAAGGAAGGAAGGAAGGAAGGAAGGAAGGAAGGAAGGAAGGAAGGAAGGAAGAAGAGAGGGAGGGAGGGACGAAAAAGAGGAAAGGGAAGGGAAGAAAAAGGGTGGGAGGGAGCGAGGAAAAAGAGGAAAGGAGGAGGGAGGCAGAAAAAGGAAGGAAGGAAGGAAGGAAGGAAGGAAGGAAGGAAGGAAGGAAGGAAAAAGAAAGGGGAAGGAGAGGAAGGAAGGAAGGAAGGAAGGAAGGAAGGAAGGAAGAAAGGAAAGAAGGAAGGAAAAGAGGAAAAGGGGAGGGAGGGAGAGGAAGGAAGGAAGGAAGGAAGGAGAGGAAGGAAGAAAGGAAAGAAGGAAGGAAAAGAGGAAAAGGGGAGGGAGGGAGAGGAAGGAAGGAAGGAAGGAAGGAAGGAAGGAAGGAAGGAAGGAAGGAAGGAAGGAGAGGTGAAGAGGGGTAAAAGGAAGGCAGGGGAAGGAAGGAAAGAAAGAAAGAAAGAAAGAAAGAAAGAAGAAAGAAGTAGGGAGGGGGAGGAGAGAAAGAAAGAAAGAAAGCGAGAGGAAGAAAAAAAGGAAAGAAAGGAGGGAGGGAGAAAAGGAAGAAAGAAAGGTTGATAGGAAACAGAGGCTCCTTCTACATTGCCATATAACCCAGATTAATCAAAGCAGATAATCCACAGTATCTGCTTTGAACTGGATTATAATCTACACTGCCATACAATCCAGTTCAAAACAGATAATCTGGATCCTATATGGCAGTGCAGAAGGGGCTTCAGAGGAAGACCAAGGCCATTCTCTCCTCTGTGAGAGGGTTGCCATGGGTTCATCCTAAATCTGGAATGACATGAAGGCACACAATAGGAACAACATAGTCCAGCCTCCCAACAGTCTGAGGAATTGTGAACTCTGTAGATGCATGTTCTGTTTGAATGAACCAACAGACTTCCATCTGTGTACTTCCATCCAAGGCCCAGTTGCTCCAGGACTGGACATTTGGAAGCCCTTCAATGATCTGAAAGCAAGCCTTACCTCCGCTCTCTGTACTAGGCGTCCCAGTCAGCATTCTGGACGGCATCCCCTCAGCGCTCCCATCCGTGGTTTGCAGCAAAGCCGACATATTCCCAAGGTTCAGAGACAGATCTGCAGCTGCCAACACGGTGCAAGGTGCTGCTCTTTCCTTTGAGCCAGTCAGACGTGAAGTGTGCCTCTGTTTTGGGGCCAAGGCAGGAGAACGAAATGTTGGACAGGTCAACTCTTGTGGTTTCTTCCCACTCTATGATGTTGATACTAAAATGGACCTAAACTTGGGACGCTCTGGACAGCACAGGCTATCAGGTCAACTGGTCAAGCTCTTCCCATTGATAACATTCCTTCTTGGAGCCAAATGAGCCATCCTGCTCTCCAAGGTCCTTCCTCCAAAGACGTCCCTGGCTTCTTAGAGCCTTGGGAAGACCTCTGTTGGCTTTCCTTCTTCTCTCACCTCCTTCCCTCGCATGTTTGTGCCCCTTTCCCAGGCCGCAGCCTGCTTTGGCTTGCCAGGGAGGAAGGGAGCGTGCCTGTCTCTCTCTGTGTGTGTCTGTCTGTGGGCATTTGTGTGTGTCAAATATCAGAGACAGCTGAGTCCAGTCTAACCAGGTGTCAATCAGCCATGGTCTCCAGGCTGGACGTGGGGACGGACGAGGGGACGGCAGCTGGGCGGAGGTTGGCGATGTGAAATAGGCCCCCTTTCAGCACCAGTTGTCTCCGCGTTTATACGCTCCATATGGAGTTTCATTCATCCTCAGGGTTCGTCTTGGGCACTGCTTTGGAGAGGGACATGCAAATGGGCCTCTTGGATCAGATCAAAGTGCCTTCAAGAGGAGGACTAAGAGCCAGCCATAGAATACTAGTGATGGAAGAGACTCCTCCAACAGCCATCCAGTCCCACCTCTTGCTAAGAAGGAAGACACAATCAAAGCCATCAGCCTCTATGTACAAAGGTCTGGGTAGGGAGAGACCTTCACACTAGAACTGGAAGAGGCCCCCAAAGGCCATCCAGTCCAACCTCCTAGTATGAATGAAGACATAACCAAAGCACTCTCAATGGATGGCCATCAAGCCTCTGCTTACAAAGGTCTGGATAAGGAGAAACTTTCACACAGAGGCAGTCTATCTTTCACTAGAACTGGAAGAGACCCTCAAAGCCCGTCCAGTCCAAATTCCTGCTATGAAGGAAGACACAAGCAAACAACGTTCAACGAATGGCCATACAGTCTCTGTTTACAAAGGTCTGGATACAGATAAACCTTCACACAAAAGCATGTGTATCTTTCTCTAGATCTGGAAGAGACCCCCAAAGGCCATCCAGTCCAACCTCCTGCTATGAATGAAGACACAACCAAAGCACTCTCAATGGATGCCCATCCAGCCACTGCTTACAAAGGTCTAGATAAGGAGAGACCTTAACACAGAGGCAGTCTATCTTCCGCTAGAACAGGAAGAGACCCCCAAAGGCCATCCAGCCCAATCTCCTGCTATGAAAGAAGACACAACCAACGTATTCTCAATGGATGGCCATCCAGCCACTGTTTACAAAGGTCTGGATAAAGAGAGACCTTCATACTGAGGCTGGATCTACACTCCCCTATATACCAGGATCTGGTCTCAGATTCTCCCTGGACTACACAAGTCTCTTGTGTCATCAAGTCTCCAGTCCTCAATAAGTCGCTAGACTAGAGATAGGATTAGGCTGAGGGATTCCTCCCCTACATTCCTATGCATGTTTACCAAAAGGGCTTTGTCATTTCTCCTCCTGCTAGTCACTGTATCCTCCTCCGCTTTGAAGATCTAGCAATGGAATTCTGTAAGCTTTATTGCCCTGGGCTGACCATGTGGTCTCCGTCATTGTCTCTTCTGCCTTTTCTTCCTTCCAGTGAAGATACATTTTTTACGTCAAGCATGAATTTGGGAGGCCCTGGAAGAACAGAGGCCGGCCAGAGCCAAAAAAGGAGGATCCGGGACCCTGGCGAGACAGCAACCACCCAAAATAATTTTCCCCTAATTTTTCTCAAATAAAGTCTCACCAAGTTGAGGGAAAGCCACCAAGATGTTTATTTCATTCCAGCTGGAATGGATGACAACCACAATCATTTGCCCAGGAGCCGACATGACTTGTTGGGGAAAATAATACAGTTTTTTTTATAGGAAATAGAGAGCTGTCAAATTCAAATTTCCCACGCCTGCCCCCTGAGCCGGTTTTGCACTGATTGGTTAGAGTCATCAGCTGGCTGGGAGGCGTGATCGGCTAGGCTGCACTCTGTCCAATCAGAGTGCTTGCCCCGCTTCAGCTCCTCAGCCAATGAGGAGGCAGGAGGTGTGCCAGGTGGGAAACAATGAATGAGATAGGTAGAGTGACAGAATTAAGGTGACCAATGTTTGTCCAACAATAGCTTAAGCCCTCAAGTTGGATCCGAGTTATTGTGTTAGTCCTTTGAATCATCATCTCCGTCTAGCCCCCAAGGGGCTAGGTCCTTTGTTTTACAGTCCTGGGATATGGTGTTCATTGATGAGCTGAAGTTCATTTCGGCTGGTCAAGATATGACACAATGGAGAAGCTGTGGGGAAATTCCTGGTTCCTTGCAGATAGGAAGATACGCTTTGTGTTGAGTGATTTAATATGTCCATAGATCTTATCATCCCAGATAGCCTGACTTTGCCCTCCGAGGTCTGGTCTGCTCATGCGAGTGAGCTTGGTGAAATCCTTTGTTTGGGGAGTATCAACTCAGGAAGCATGGAGGGGCTTCCAGAGTTATGAGTTGTTGACCTAATGAAAACGGTGGCTTTTCCCTTCATATTTCATATAGACATATACATACAAGGGATGTGAATGGGGCAAGGGAACATACAATGAATTAAAAAAGAGAGGGGAAATCATGCAGGGCCTCAGGGGAAATTATACCAGCCCCCCAAAGCTTGGAAAAGTTGATAAAAGTCCACAAGAGTCCATAGGGGTTTGGCAAAGAGTTCATGGAAGTTCCAAAAAGTTCTTAAAGGTCCGCAAAAGTTAATAAAAGGCCTCAAAAAGTTCATGAAAGTAGGAGAAAATTTATAAAAGTTCCTGAGGAGTTCATAAAAGTCCATGGGGAGCATATGGGAGCTAAAGGGAGCACTGAGGGGTCGAAGTCCATTCATAAACAAAAAAGAAAACTACAGATCCAATTTTATAAAGGCAAAACAGCCTGCCAGGAGTCCAGGGATCCCAAGGGATCTCACAAGGGGCTTCCCCGAAGTTGACAGGTTTCCCAGTGCACATGAAATTGAGGCATGAGCATTGTTGCAGCATGGAGCCATGAAATGAAGCTTGCTGATCCCCTCATAAGGTTTCAAGACAAAAATGGTTTTCCCAGAGCACAGGGCTCTGTTCCGCAAAAAGTGAGAAAGCAGTTAGTCTTAAAACTAGTCTAGGAAAAAAGATAATACAAAGATGGTTTGGAGTTGATCGGTTGACCCGCGGATACGGGGGCCCAATGGGTCTCCATATCCGCGGTTCAAAGGAACGCAGATTCAGCCTCCCCAGGATGCTGCAAGAGCGTCCCAGGCGAGCCAGCAGGATCTGCCGCTCAGGAAAGGAAAGGTTTGTGCTAGTTAGCATTTGAGTCAGTAAAGGGACGCAATGTATCATATAAAGAGGAAAAGTTTAGGAAAATGGATACTTCTTTATTAAGGGTTGTTACATTAAAACAGGGGAGATCCGTTTAGTGAGGAAAAAGGAAAAGAAAAGGCCTCTGCTGTTAGAGCTGCTGCTGGAGCCACAGTCCCTTTGTCTTCATTCAATCCAGATGTTCAGGAATGGTGGAACTCCCTGCTGCAGTTCAAATCAGATTGAAAGCAGGGGCCTGCGAGCTTGTCCTCATTTTTGCCTTTCTCTTTGTGTAGCTCCATGGATTTTTTAAAAACCTTTTAACCTTTTACCTCTTTAGAAGATGAGATTTAGCAAGCTAGTGAGCTCCAAAACCTTTTCTATCAAGAATGTATTTCTTTTACTTCAATAAGCATTTTGGAAGCTAAAGTTCTGACTCTGCAGTCCTGTGCCATTCTAATGGATAGAAGCCTATCCCAGCTCATCAAATGTAAGTTTCTGCTGGTTATGAAGTTTACTTCTGGTATTTAGTTATATTTATGGTGGAAACACCCCAACTGAGGGTTATTTTGAGCCTAACAGCTCCGATTCCCCAAACAATACCACAATCCAGCATCTCATAGGATTTAATTGGTTTTTCTTAGAACTGATTTAATCACTATATCGTGAATAGGAATCCCTAGGTCCTCCTCTCTCTTGCCCGCTGACCTAAGCCGGCTGTCATCATCCCACCAGGCCAAACAGGCCTCCATCTGGCTAATTAGGCCTTGAAAGATGGGCAGGGGGAGTAGCTGTGTTGCTCTCCGAAGAAGGAGATGGTCGGGTTTCCGCAGTTTCCGTTCCGCTGAATGATTGAAGAAGCCAGTGTGTCCTTTCCTTCTTCTCCATCCAAGCCACTCAGACAGGCTGGCTTCTGCAAGCCTCTTGGGACTCTCCGCTCCTCCAGACAGATCAGGTTCTCCTGGAAATCCTTTCGCTTTGCAAACAGCAAGAGCCTCTTTCCATCACAGCTGGCATCTCCCAGATGTGTTGGGTCTGTGATCAGAGTGACCCCCCACCCAGGACTCTGTAAAATATAGTTTTAAATCAGGGAATTAATAGTTTTGCCAAGGACACCAGGCTGGAAATATCCCATAATCCCGTCTCTCCTGTTTTTATGAATGGAGTCCAACTACTCAGTGCTCCCCTGAGCTTCCATGCACTCTTATGAGTTCTTATGAACTTTAATGAACTTTATTTATTTATTTATTTGCAGCATTTATATTCCGCCCTTCTCACCTCGCAGGGGATTCAGTGCGGATTACTGGGGACACATATATGGCAAACATTCAATGCCAATTTTGACATACAACATAGACAGACATAGACAGAGGCTATTTAACTTTTTCTGGCCGCCAGGGGAGTTGTCACTTTCATTGTCCATCTGCGACACTGATGAAGTACTTCCGCATTCCCCGCATGCTTTTTGCTGGAGTGCTTGCTGGAGTCTTTTTTTTATGGCCTCATAAATTAGTTAATTTAGCCTCCCCACACTTTAAGGTGGTACCTAATTTTCCTACTTGACAGATGCAACTGTCTTTCGGGTTGCAAAGGTCGACAACAGGCTACACAATTGGTTGGAAACCCACTCCAACCCGGGCTGGCTTCGAACTCATGACCTGGAATTAGAGCTGTTTTCATCGAAGTCCGATCACATTGGAATGGATGATGCCAGTTCTTGACTACAACATAGGATGAGGAATCCTCACCATAGACCTCTTTCATCTCATTGAACGTCTCCTTTGGTGTGCGGCCTTTGAAGGAAAGGAACTTGAGGACTGCTCTGTCTTCCACTGAGTCCATTCTCAAACCTCACACCACTTCAGCACCTGTAGTAAAATCAAGACCTTTCTCAGTTCCGAGTTGTAAATTGGCACGTAATCTATAAAGACTTATATCATTACACACATGCAGTTTCAGTG